TTCTTAACCTCTACTGGACCCCCACTCAATAATGTTCATTACCTCAAGAGAAAAAGGAAAAGCCTATCAAAAAGAGGGAAAAAAAAGAAAAGAGATAGATAATAGATCTAAGATTCAGGCTGCTTTGGTGACATTTTTAAAGTGTTTCTTGCCAAGCAAAACAGTATTTTTAAAAGAATTTCTTTACCTGATATTTAAGCGTAGAAAAGGAAAGACAAATTAAAATTATTTTTCCTTCACCCATGATTATGCAGCAATTTATCAACAAAATGAAACACGAACATCTGACTGGGATTATTTATTATACAGTAAGGCATTTATTTTTTGTTCACTTCACCAGGAACAGTGTCTCTGTTATGGCTAGTTAGCCATCTGTGTCCAAAGAGCTTTCAGGAAAGGATTAAACTGTCATTTGTTTTATTTCTTTTCATGAAATAACTCTCTTAACAGGGCTGGGGCAAGACTTGGGTATTGTTGGACTTGTTACTTTAGGGTGGCATTTAAAGGAGTAACTGGATCTTCTCTAGAGCTAAAGCAAAGCAATGTAAAGTTTGGGGGGCTGTTTTTGACACATGCAGTATCCTGCTGGAAGTGGCACAGATCAGCAATGTCTTAAGCAGAAACAGAATTATCCGTGGATTTATTTTTAAAAATCTGATTCATTCACTTCATTCAATTAGCCAATAAGGGTTTAAGCACTGAGAGAATGTGCAGCTAATCAGGGCTGGAAGCATGAGGCTGACAGAAATAACTCTGGAAGCAGAGGTGTTCCACATCCTCCAGGTGCAGGGGATTCCCAGCCCCACAGAAGGCAGCACCTTGCCCACCTACAACTGCACAAGTGGGGCAAAAAACTTCTGACACTACTTCCCTGCAAAGAAAGAGCAAAAGAAGCCACCTGGTGTGGAGACTGTGCCCTGAGCAGGAGCAAACACGTGGGAAGTGATTTGCCAGAAGGATGTACCCTGTGTGCAGGGTGTGCTGGGCCAGCCTCCCAGAGCTCACCAGCAGCACCAGCACAGCTCACTCATCACCTGTGGCCACAAACCAAAAGTGCTTTTCCAAGCAAGGGGCAGATTTGGGGAGTTTGATGCCAGCAGCTCCTCACGCCACACTTTTACCGACGGATTTTTTAGAAGCCAAAGCTCTCAGGGCTCAGTGCCAGTTGTGCTCTGCTCAAACGTGACCTGCCCAGGAGCTCGTGGCCAGAGTGCAAAAGGAAGAGATTTCTGGAGCAGCTGGGCCTGGCACTGGCTGGACCTCGAGGGGGACACTTTAGCCAAGGAGGGCTAAACATCTGAAAGGATTGGAAAACGGGTTTTCTCAAGGTTTTGGCTTCAGGGACCACACGTGACACTGCAGTGAATTCCACATAGCGCCTCTGACTGAGTGGAAGAGCTGATTTGTCCTAAGTGAGTGGTGGTTAAAGACCCAGGTATCCCATCTGAGCCACTGACTGCAGCTCTGAGACTGCTCCAGCTGCAGCTGGTCTGGCACAGCAAAATGCAGTATTGCAGGAGAAATAAAATACTGACATCTATAGGATGTTCAATATTTCTAGCAGATACAGTAGGAAGAAGCTCATAAGTAATATCCAGTCTTCACTACAATTTTCTGCATTCAATCCCATCAAGAGCCATTTCAGCTTTTCTGCCCATCATTGTTCAGGTGCTACTCACTGCAGCCCCAAAATCGCTGTGTCCTGCCTGGACTGGCCTGCAGGACATACCCAGTTTTAATGGTGGGGGTGTTTTGTACTATTTAATTAATGGTTTGTTTGGAGTTTTTTTTTTGTTTTACTTTGAGCTAGGATTAAAAAATATACAAAGGAAACTGATTTTTTTTGTGTTTGGGATTGGTTGTTTATCAAATTTTATTAGAAGTATAGAATGTTTAGCAACACTTCTAGCCACCAGCTAGAAGTGAGTAAAATGGAGAGAGATTTAGCTAACTGAAAGGTCTTCTAAAGCTAAACAGTTTACTAGAGAAGTAACACTTATATTATTTATACTTTTAATTTAGTAACTAAATTTTGATGTCTTTTAGTGTGGTACTAACTGTTTAACCAGAAACTACTACTTGAAACTACAAAGGAGGAAGATGAGTACTGAAAGAGATACTACTTAAAATTTTTTATTTTGTTTTATACTTATTACTTTGTTATAAAAACCTTAAATTTAAAACCTTTCACCATGTGAAAGCACACACTTTTATTTAACTACATTCTTGTGATTTTAACTTTATTACTTAAATTTGGAAGCGTTTTTTAAGGCATTAGGTCAAAAGCAGTATTCTTTGGGGGGTTAGTGCTAGAAAGCACAGAAAGCTTAAAAAAACCCAGGTTTTTGGGCTCCAACACCCAGTGTGACTGTGGGAATGACAGGGAGGAAGGACCTGCAGCAAACGAACGGGATGAACAGAGGCAGCAGGGGATGGACAGGGCTCTGCAGGAATGGGGCAGGCTCTGCTGCCCAGTGACAGGACAACATTCCCCTCGGGATGCTCCTGCTGCAGGGACGTTCGGTGGCACTGTGAGCCAGGGAACATCGACCTCTCCGTCTGGGAATCCGTGGAAGGATGGCGAGGCTGGAGCACGCCCAGCCAGGCACACCCAGCCCGTTGTCACCTGGGTGTCACCAGTGCCACAAAGGGACAGCACTGCTCCTCCTGCCACATCTTCTGCGGCTGCTCTGCTTTCCAATCCTTGCTCTGTTTGAAATAACCTGGTCACGGGCTGTGGGGCTGCCAATCCACAGAGCTGGGACCCCACTCCCTGACCAACAGGAGCATCTAATTCTCCTGATCAATTCTCACACAAACAAAAGCCAAGAAACAGGAAGGGCACCCACAGCAGGCAGCATTTTCTTAGCAGCAATACAATTATAATGCAGTTAGGCTGTATCTGTTTACATCCCCAATTTAAAATGATCTTTTTCTTATCTCCCTGCCTTAACTTCCCTAACATTCCACTGCCATGGTGTCAGCAGGGAATCCTGCTGCACACTAATGGAGCTGTACTAAAGAACTGCAGTCATGGCAGAGACTGAAATTCTCAGTTCTACAGAAAATGCATTTCATTTTCTGCTTTGGACTGAAAATGCCTCTTCTTGGAAAGGATGGGGGTTTCCCAATGTTCAAGAGGAAGACCTGGGAAGATGAAGTAGTTAAAATAATAATGGCTATTTTGCAGCCTTTTTCTTTTGTGTTCTCCTTGTTCACAAAACCCTAAAATAGGCAAGGTTGTTTGATTTCATTGTGATACCATACAATTCCTAGGATTCTTGCTAGGACATTTGCTCAGGGGAGCTGAGAGAAGATGCAATTACTTCCTGAGAAGCAGTGATATTACCACAAGCAGGGACAATGTCAGAATTTGGTTTCTTTGCTGACAGGGTTCCTTTGTCTGCTTCTCCCCCATCCCTCTGCTACTGGGAATCTGCTAAAACACACCTGTGGGAAGTTTGGGCTTTTAAATCTGTGCCTTAAATGTCCCGACGGTTCCCTAACTTGCAGAAGGTTTATTCCTATCAGCTCCTTAATCTCAGTTTTTCTGGAAAAATCTCTGCAAGTATCTTCCTATCTTCCACTACAGACCATGCCTGAGCTAAAGAGTTCTCCCCCCACACCCCATGAAAACTGAATGTTCTCCAAAAGATTAAGATTTTTAGATTTAAAATTCTTGTGTTTAGGCTGAAATTACAAGCTAATAACAACAATCATGTCATTAAGTCTGGATGAAAGGTTTTGATCATGGGGAAAGTACATTCCAACACAGTTCAAATGAAAAAATCTCAAAGGTTTGAGCCCCTCCCTCTCACACTCCATCTCCTCTCTCCCTCCCTGTGCTTCTGCAGAAACACAGTAAAGAAAGAGCTGAAAAAAGCAAGGAAGAGAAAAGAATTTTCTCTCCAGAATGTAAGCAAAACTCTAACAGCATTTAATTATAACAAGATACTTATTTTCTGCACAAAACACATTTTGGTTTCCTTTCCAACAGGTTCCAGCTCACAGTAAAGGTGTAACACATGGAGGCAAGTATAGCTTATATTTTAGGAATTTCCATTATTTTTATGGATTGTATTGATGAGAAATGCATTTGTGCACTTTGAATTTCCAGTAACAATTCTGTTGTGGAATATACTTTGAATAATTCCTTTGCAAGAAGCATGATTATATATTCATTAGAAATGGAAAGTCGTCCTGGAAGACTCAAGCTTATAAATTAATGGTATTTCAAGAAATAAGGTGGCATAAATTCAACATACTGATTGTCCAATTCATCTTCCTCTCAGCTAAAATATATCATTGCTCTCTAATTGCAATTCCCAGCCATGCCATCCTCTTCATCTTAACTCTAAATGGCCTGCACTTATTGAATCATTTGTGGTGCACTGCACAATCCTCACCCTTAATTGCACGAGTATTTTATTTTTGGAACAACACAGCTCAGCAACAGGCTTCATTTTTCTTTTCCTGACTCAGTCTCTATTAAAGCAAAGCATTTCCAAAAGCTCTGTGAGCAGGGAGAGAACCTGAGTTGCCCCTTCATGGCCAAGAGCTCCCTGCTAATCTACAAGTCAGCCCCAGAGCCCTGTGAGCAGAGCAGTGATTAAACTGTGCCTCAACAAAGCAACTTTGTGCTGAGCCCTGCCGTGCTCCCGGCACAAACGTCTCCCTCCTGTTAGCATTGGTATTCCCCAGATGTTTGACTTCGAGCTCAGCCTTGGCAGCTGAGTCTCTGTGGCTGCAATTCAAGTCCCAAGCTCGAGCAGCTCCAGTGTTTATTCTCGTAATTTACACTTTGTGATGGCTTATGGACAGTTATGTGCTTGGTTTTACAGCCACCACTTCAAACCAAGGAGTCAGTGGTAGATGCTTCCCAATGTCACCACTGGCAGGAGGCCCCACATCATCAAACTGTCTCTTAAAGCAAACAAGCCAACAAAAAAGAATGATTTGCTTTAGAAATAAGCAAAAAAAATGCCTAAAATCTTACTTACTAGGAAGTCTTCTTCACAGTACACCTTGCCATTGACATTGTAGAATGCTTTTCCTCGTAGTCTTCTCCCTGTTAAAGCACAGGACCATCAGAATTTTGTTCTTCATCCCCAACCCAGCTGTCCAGGATACAAAAGCACACCACCTGTACCTGTCTGTAGGATCTGTTCCTGGCCCCTCTCTTCCCTGAAGGGCCCATCCAGAGACAGGGCTAAGGGTAAAGCTCCTGGCTCTGTCTGGCCATACCAAATCAGGTACCAAACCTTGCTTTAGATAGCAACTAAGCGTTATCTTTAAGTGTGGGTTATGGAACGCAGTTGATAGCAGTTCCTGAAAAACATGCAATCTAAGCTCAAAATTGATTTGGGGGAAAAGGCTCCTTTGCAAATTGAGACAATTTTCTCGGCAGGTAAAATCCCAGCAGGCTCACATCCACTGCAATCAACAGCAGCAGCATCTGTCTCCAAAGGATTACACATGGGATACTGCAGATGGATGCTCCTGCCACCCTCAAAAATATTAATAATCAATGCCACAGCAGTTCCCTGCGATGCTAAAGCAGTACAAGGCACACATGATAGAGGGAAGGGCAGTAAAATCACACAGAAAACAAGAGATTTTGTATTCAAGTTTTGACATTTGCCATTTCATTAGCCTATGCAGAACTTGACTGACAAAGCCTGTGACAGTCATTAACTGAGGGCTCCCTTTACAGTAAAGAAATGCACAGCAGACTCCTGAGAGTCCCAACAGAAAGGATTCAAACCAGGAACTCGAGAACCACCGAGCCAAATCAGTTTGTAGATACAGCAGATCAGAACTGTCTTACACCAGAGCTGTTCTATTGCAAGCAGTGCTGCTTCACCAGTGCAAAACCAGAGAGGGAGAAGGGAAAGCACAGTCATCCCAACTCACCTCAATCCTGCTCTACCAGGGTCCCAGTGGCCAAAGCTCCCAGCAGCCCTTTGCAGAGGGACAGGGCTGCACTGGGCTGTGCCAGCAGGGACACAGGGCAAGGGACAGGGCAAGAGCACAGGCCAACACAGCCCAGCTCAGTGCCTGAGCTTCACTGCATGGAACCAGCCTGGATGTCTCCTCCAGCTCCACCAGGAACACCACTGATCTCCACTCCTGATCTCTCTCCAGAGGGTTTGATGCTGGCTGAGCCAGCTGGCCAGCATGGAGGTCAGGAGTGCTCTCCACCGTTTCCATAAACAACGTTGAGGAAAATATGATTAATTTTCAGTGTTTGAAAGCGCCTTTTACACGTTGCCACTGTGATCTGATCCTGGGAAACAGCGTGTGGCACAAAGGAGTTGGGATCTGGGCTGATGCTTTTGGGAAATCACATGCTGCATGCGGTTGTCTGGTGGTTTTACTGTCGTGGCTGAGGGAAATGCTTCTTTTGTGTGCACATTCTTGAGCTGTCGATCTCACGGGCTGTTGTCTCCATACTGCTGGTAGGTGGAGTCAGCTCTTGTTTGTCTTTCCAGCTGCCCAGTGGCTCTGGTGGGGACCAGGACCTTGGTGACAGGGGCAACGTGCTCATCCCCTCCGAGAGTCTTAGGCAAAACTGGGCCATCCCCTGAACAAGGCACAGGGCTGGGACAGCCATCAGGACACCTTGGGGCCTCTCTCAACTGATGCAGGAGTAACCATACCTAGATCTTCCCTCCTGTTTGTCAAAGCTGTTGTTAAACCTCTCTAGGGAAAGATAAAGTACATGGAACGAAAGGAAAAAAGGAAAGAGGCCAGAATGGCTTTGGAAAGGACACGTCTCTGTCAGATCCAGCCTTGGCACACAACTTGTCTTTAGCTGGTGGACATGAAGTGTCCAGCCAGAATCAGGGACCTGCCTTGCATGTGCTGATGCAGCAGTTCCCTGGTGCTCCCCCCAGAGCTGGTGTTTGCTGCAGGGGAAAGAGCACTGGCCATCCCCTCAGACACAGCACTGTGGTGAGAATGGATAAAGAGCACTGGCCATCCCCTCAGACACAGCACTGTGGTGAGAATGGATAAAGAGCACTGGCCATCCCCTCAGACACAGCACTGTGGTGAGAAAGGAGCAGAGGTGCTGAGGGACAAATCTCAGTGCCGGCTGCTGGAAGGATCTCTGCAGGAGAGCCAGTGCAGGGAGGCACCAGCATCTCCTGAGCCTCTGCAGAAGGGGCAGCAGGACCCCAACATCCCACTCTGTACCCCAGCCTGCCAGTGCTGAGGCTGATTGGAATGGCACAAATTCTGCTCTGGTTCTTTCCTTAGCACAGCATCACTGGCAGGAGCCAGTGGGGTCAGCACTTTCCTGGACTGGGATGGAAGCCTCTGATCCAAACCAACAAGGCAAAGCCACGTTCTAGAGTGCCTCTCACACACAGCAGGTCTCAGCTGCATTGGCAGCTGCCTGCCCTGTGCCTGGCCCCATTGTGAGTGTGCACATCAGCCCTGCACTGCTGAGATCCCTGCACTGCTGGGATCCCTGCACTGCTGAGATCCCTGCACTGCTGGGATCCCTGCACTGCTGAGATCCCTACTCCCAGCCTGCCCCAGAAGCCCTCACCTGCCCAGCACACAGAGCTGCTCTCCCTGCCCTACACCTGCCACTTCCACACCACACTGTACTCCCAGCACAACACCTTTCAAAACTCAGGGAAAATACCATTTCCCCATTTTTCTGCTGAAAAAACCAAGACACCTATTAGGGAACTGACTTGCCTAAACTCATAAAGCAGGCAAGCAGCTTGCTCACATGATAATGACTATTACTAGCAATGATTAATAAGATTGACAGGCCTTTTACCTTAGAAGAATTTCATTCAGGGATTATACAATAATTATCTCATAAACAAGAAACAGCAAGTTATCACTCAAACAACCATGGATGCCTACATTGGCTTCTACATCCTGCATTTCAGAAATAAGAGCAGAAGTGTACATTCCACTGCCCTCGGGAAGGGTTGACTAAATGACAGCACTGAACATGGTCAAACAGCACCCTGAGAGTGTCTGGGCATCATGTGCAAACTGCAGTCAAGAGAGAAGTGCTGGCAATTGCAGCCAGGCAGACAGGAACCCCGAGGAGAGGCAGGGACACAGGAACCCCGAGGAGAGAGGCAGGGACACAGGAACCCCGAGGAGAGAGGCAGGGACACAGGAACCCCGAGGAGAGGCAGGGACACAGGAATCCCGAGGAGAGGCAGGGACACAGGAATCCCGAGGAGAGAGGCAGGGACACAGGAACCCCGAGGAGAGGCAGTGCTGGTGCCCCCAGCCCCAGGGCAGCAGGGTGGGTGTTCCACCTTCATGTTGGGATGCCTGCCCCGAGCTCCAAGTGCTGGACAAGGGGGCCTCACCTCTCAAGGTCCTGGAGCAACTCGAGAACCTGCACAGCACCAGGTTCTGTGTAGCTGTAATCTGTTACTGCCAATTAGGCAGAAATTACGAGTTAAAAACCCTGTGATGTTCCTTCAGCCAAGCACCTGGCCAGCCAGGGAAGGTAACATCACCCTGCCCACCGGTACAGGCCCTGCTGCTTGGCTTTCCTTTGAATGACTTCGTCTAGCCAAGCCTGGTTACTATTTGCTTTCATAATATTGAAACAAAAAAAGTCAAGAGCTTCTGACAAAACTTGATGCAACTTGCTGACTTGCTCATTATAATAACAATGAGCAGCCTAGCGCAGAGTTCAGGAGTGTGGGGTTTCACAAACACTGCACTTGGTTCCTCCTGCTGCTGCACTCCCACCTTGGCACGCCTGCCCTGTCAGACCAGTTTGCAGCAGCAGCAGCGAGGAAGCAGCTCCGATTCACAGCGGCAGAGCAGCAGAACAGGGAGGAATGCACAGGGGACCCGGCCCGGGCAGGAGCCACCCGGCTGTGCAGGCTCCTCACTCCAGCAGCAGCTTTTGGGGGGAAGCTCCTTCTCCCCCGAATGCTCTCCAGCCTTGCTTTCCCAAAAAACAAAGTTTGCATTGCCAGTGACAAACAAGTAACTCCCATTACTGACACCCCCACCTTGGAGAGGAGCGAGCACCAGGCTAAGGGAGCTCCACCACCCGGGGTGGGAGACAGAGACCTCACAGCACTCCAGCCAACAGTGCAAACACTCACGAGATAATCTAGCAGATAATAAAATGAAAGCTAGAAATGACTATCCCAAGGACCGATCACAACTGGTCATTGCAACCAACATGACAAACATCCAAAAGAATGCAGGTTTGTGGAACTCTTAAAAAGTAGAACCATCTCTAAGTTTTTAACAGTGGTTTGGACATTTAACCAGTTTATAAGTCTCTGCTATTTAAATGTGTCTGTCAATTACTTTCTGCACAATTTTTATCTCCTACATGACACAAACTAAAAGGAAGGAATGGGAGAGCTGTTCCTTTATCAAAGGATTCAACTCAAAGACAGCTTGCAAAAGGAAAAATAACCCCCAGTTGACACAGGCTGTCCACAAGTATTCTCCCCAGTCTCCACAACACTTTGCTGGGTGGTGAAAACACGCCAGCCAGGAAGCCAAGATGGAGTAAAACTTTTCCCAATGCTGTTTCAAATTCTGCTCCAGGCTCCCATGGAACAAAATGTGAATGAGCCCAGGTTTTAGAGCATTGGGGACATTGCCCAAAAGAGCACTGGAAGGGTCCTGCCCCCTCCCCTCCAGCCTGGAAAGCACCTCCCGAGCCCTCCCTGCTGCTGCTGGCCGGGAGTATTTGCCTGTGGGGAGCTCAGTTTATCATCACAGCCTTGAGTGGAAGATCTCGTGTCTCACACAGGATGGATGCAGCAGGATCAGGGGCTGATACCCCCTCGCCGCTGTAAGACAGGAGATAGGAATGTCTCACTGTCACAGCAGGGTTATTAGACCTAATTACTGCTTGCAGCCTGCTTTGAAGTTGAAAAGTGCCAAGCATTATTATAATATTTTAAGTACTTTGATGATTGAAAACACACAACCCTTTGGTAATCACGATTTAGTAGTACTGTAGAGTAAGCAAGTTCATGTGAGAAGCCTGCATTGTCTCCATGCCTGACGCTACTCAAACACAAACAGCTCCCCTCTGACATCATGGGA